GAGTACCTTTTCATATGCTTTTTGGTTCTTTGGATATCTTCTGTTGAAGTCTCTTGTCCATTTTTCTTTGGGGTGTCTACTGTTATTAATTTGAAAGGGTCTTTTGTATATTTTGATTACAAGTCTTTGTTGAAAAAATATATATTGCATATATTTCTTTCATTGTGTGCCTTTCACTCTAATTCTCGCTATTGGTAAACAATTATTCTTAATTTAGTTTATTAAATTTTTCCTTATGGTTATTGCTTTTGTAAACTTTTAAGGAAATTGTTGCCTACTCTAATGTCATGAAAATATTCTCCTATGTTATTTTTTTCTTCTTTTTAAAAATCCTCACCTGAGGATATGTTTATTGATTTTAGAGAGAGAGGAAGGAAGAGAAAGTGAGAGAGAGAGAAACATCGACTGGCCACCTCCCATATGTGCCCCAACCAGGGATCGAACCCACAACCCTCTCCTATGTTCTTTCAAAGGCTTTCTTGTTTACCTTTTACATTTAGACCTACAGTTCATCTGGAAATGATTTCTGTGTGTGGTGTGGCAAAGGTGGAGATCTCTTTTTTGCCATATAGATATTCAGTTGATTGGAGATCTCTTTTTTGCCATATGGATATTCAGTTGATTGCAATATCCTTTATTGAAAAGACCATCCTTCCACTACTGCAGTGCTACTGTTTTCATAAATCTGGTGACCATGCATATGTGGATATTCTGGACTTTTTAGTTTGTATGTATGTATGTATTTATTATCCTCACCCGAAGACATTTTCACATTTCAGATAGAGCGGGAGAGAGATGGGGAGAGAAACATCGATGTGAGAGAGACACATGGACTGGTTGCCACCCACACAACCCCAACCGGGGCCCAAACTGCAACTGAGGTATGTGCCTTTAGTGGGAACCGAACCCTGGGCCTCTCTGGTTCGAGGGCCAACGCTCTAACCGCTTAGCCAAACTGGCCTGGGCTGGACTTTTTATTTTGTTCCATTTGTCTTTTCTTATCCTTGTGCCAATAGCTACACAGTCTAATTGCTATAGCTTTTCTTTTTTTAATCCTCGCCCAAGGATATTTTTCCATTGATTTTTAGATAGAGTGGAGGGGAGGGGGGGAGAGAGAGAGAGAGAGGAACATACATCGATGTGAGAGAGACACAGCGATTGGTTGCTACCCAAAGGACCCCAACTGGGGCCAGGGTCAAATGGCAACTGAGATACTTATCCTTAGCAGGAACTGAACCCAGGACTCTCTGGTCTGTGGGCTGACACTCTAACTGCTGAGCCAAACAGGCCAGAGCTATTTATTTTTATTATTAAGAAAATATTTGTATTGCCCTGGCCAGTTTTGCTCAGTGGTTAGATCGTCGGCCTGTGGACCAATGAGTTGCAGGTTCAATTTCCATCAAGGGCACGTACCTCAGTTGCAGTTCATCCCGGCCCTGGTCAGGTCATGTGGGAGGCAACCAGTCGATGTGTCTCTCTCACGTTGTTGTTTGTCAGTGTGGTCAGTTATGTCAGTGTTGCTGACAAGGTCAAGCAAGATAAAACCTAACAAAACATCTATTGGACTTAGCTCTTAGTGGCTATTGAGAACGTAATGATGCAGTTTCTGTGGAGGGGTGGGGTGTGTGTCTTTATTAGATTGTAAATTCTTAGAAGGGAACAAAGTTCCTTGTTTAATTAGTGCCTAGTGAATGTTATTTCATGATGATAATCAAATGATCTTCATATTGCTGAATATCTTTTTTTTTTCTTTTTTTATCCTCACCCGAGGACATTTTTCCATTTTTTGTTCAGATAGAGCGGGAGGGAGAGAGAGGAAGAGAGAGAGAGAGAAACATCAATGTGAAGGGACACATCGAGTGGCTGCCACTCGCACGACCAACCAGGGCCGGGGACAAACTGCAACCGATGTACGTGCCCTTAGCGGGAACTGAACCCGGGTCTCTCTGTACCACAGTCCGACGCTCCAACCGCTGAGCCAAATCGGCCAGGGCATATTGCTGAATATCTTCAGGGCCAAGGTGGTTTTCTATTTTATACTATCCCTCTCCATATTTATTCTTGCAGCTGATGAAAAATTGCTCTTCTAAATGGAGAATAATTTAATACCTACTCAATCCTTGGCTGTTTTAGATAATCAGAAACTATATTTCATCCATCCATTCATTTATTCATCTATCCATCCATTTATTTATTCACTCAGCAAGCATATATGGAGCAACCACCAACTATCCAGAACTTAAAAGCATTGTGCTAGAGATGTAAGTAGAGAAGGAAAGGAAGGAAGGATGCCTAGAAAGATATATTTAACCCATGTATATTTCAGTGAGTTAACTTTGCATTCTCTGTTTTTATATTTTTCAATGACTATTCAAAGACAGTATATGTTTAAGCTCTGTGACCTGAAGACAAAACTTCAGAAAGTACTTCCTTTCTGTTTAAATAAAAAACAGGATTTTAGTAGTTCTTTGTCCTTTTTGGAAGGCCCTCCTATAATTTATTGTTTGCTGGGTATTTATGTTTGAGTGATTTTCTTTTTAGATTTGAGTGCTTATTTTAGGGAAGGAGGAATAGAATTTAGTTCTTTTTAAAATACAATAAAATTACATTAAGTATGTACAATGCTAAATTTTTATTGTTAATCCTCACCCGAGGATATTTTTCTATTGGTTTTTTTTTTTTTTATAAAATGGAAGGGAGGGAGAGAGGGAGGGAGGGAGAGAGGGAGGGAGGGAGGGAGGGAGAGAGAGAGAGAAAGAGAGAGAGAGAAACATCTATGTGAGAGAGACACATTGACTGGTTGCCTCCCATAGGATCCTGACTGGGGATTAAGCCTGCAACCCAGGTATGGGCCCTTGTCCGGGAATTGAACCCTCAACAGTCTAACCACTGAGCCAAACCGACCAGGGTGAAAAGTAAGACAATTTTAAATGATGCTTAACATTTTTAGTTCCAAGTTCAATCAGGATAGTCATGAACTGACATTTACTCTGAATCCTTTGAGTGAACGTCATTCAGCCAAATCCCATAAGAAATAATATCCTCTATGTGAGCAAACTGGTAGTAGAACTATTGCTTCAACTATAGATAACAACAGTTGATGTTAATATGTTGTGAGATTTCAGCCTTGGAGACATGATGTTAAAATAGTAAAAATGGCCCTGGCCGGTTTGGCTCAGTGGTTTAGAGTGTCGGCCTGTGGTCCAGAGAGACCCGGGTTCAGTTCCCGCTAAGGGCACATACCTCGGTTGCATTTTGTCCCGGGCCCTGGTGGGGTTGTGTGGGTGGCAACCACTCGATGTGTCCCTTTCACGTCGATGTTTCTCTCTCTCTCTCTCTCTTTCTCCCTCCCTCTCTTCCTCCCTCCCACTCTATCTGAACAAAATATCGAAAAATGTCCTCGAGTGAGCATAAAAAAAAAATAGTAAAAATGTACATTAAAACACTTTTAAAAAAATAGAAACTGTAGCCCTTGGCTGGTTTGGCTCAGCAGTTGGAGCCCTGGTTAGGGTTGTGCAGGAGGCAACCAATTGATGTATCTCTCTCACATCCATGTTTCTCTCACATTCTCTCTCCCCACTCCCTACCTCTCTTCCACACTCTCTAAAAATCAATGGAAAAATATCCTCAGATGAGGATTAACAAAAAATAAATAAAAATAAAATAACCCTGGCAGGTTTGGCTCAGCGGTTAGAGCGTCGGCCTGCGGTCCAGAGAGACCTGGGTTCGGTTCCCGTTAAGGGCACGTACCTCGGTTGCAGTTTGTTCCCGGCCCTGGTCGGTCGTGCGGGTGGCAGCCACTCGATGTGTCCCTTTTACATCGATGTTTCTCTCTCTCTCTTTGTTCCTCTCTCTCCCTCCCACTCTATCTGTACAAAAAATGGAAAAATGTCCTCGGGTGAGGATAAAAAATAAATAAAATAAAATAGAAACTGTACCTACTTTCTATCTTAATTAAAGACGTCACTGTCCTATGCAGTGAAACACTAAACATGCTTTTTTTTTTTTCCTCACCCGAGGATATTTTTCCATTTTTTTGTACAGATAGAGTGGGAGGGAGAGAGAGGAAGGGAGAGAGAGAGAGAAACATCGACGTGAAGGGACACGTCGAGTGGCTGCCACCCGCACGACCAACCAGGGCTGGGGACAAACTGCAACCGAAGTACGTGCCCTTCGCGGGAACCGAACCCGGGTCTCTCGGGACCGCAGGCCGACGCTCTAACCGCTGAGCCAAACTGGCCAGGGCTAAACATGCTTTTTAATATTTTAAATATTTCACCAAATATCACTTTAGCTTAAAAGAGTTGAATTTTATTTAATTGAGCATTGTATGAGTAATGCAAGGTAAACTTTCATTTTGACAAGTAAAATAAGGAGGTGAGTTGATTCAGAGAATGTCAGGTAAAATATTAAAATAAGTGATTTGTGCCTTCACTGAAAACTCAAATACAAAGAAATTTTGGTGGATAAGATGTTCAAAATTTGTGACTGAAACTTACTTTTACTTGACCTCCAAGGTTAATATCACATTTAATATTAAGGTATTTTTCATTCTATAATATTTAAAATGTTTCTTTTATATATAGTCAGATTTTAAGTATTTATCTTTCCCCACTAGTCCCCCTCCGTTTCTTATCCTTCCCCATCCCAATCTTTTGCTCTGGTAGGGTTCCTATTGCAGGCTATTTAGTCATTACCATTCTAATACCATTTAAGGTAGCTCTGCTGGGTTTATTTATTTTGAGCCCTACAATACAGTTTCTCTTTTAACTTGGCTTCAAGTTGACAAACCATTTTATTTTTTCTCCTTTTCATTTCAACAACTCGTGATTTAGATTGGTTAGGAAGATACAATGTAAACCGGGTACAACCTCTTCCCCTTGGAATCAGTATTTGCAAGGTTTCCTCCTTTCCTGGCTGAATGTGCTTAAGTCGGGCAGAGTACCTTGTGAAGGACTTCAGCCCCCACAGTTCCCTGTCTGCGCATGCCCTTTCTTCTTACAGTTGTCAAAGTGCTTTTGCCAGAGCGGTCACATAATCAACCTGAAAGAAGAAAATAAATACTGTACACTTTTAAATTTTATCGTTCCTTAAAAACTGGACACTCAAAGGTAACTGCTACTAAGAATTTGTTACTTGAGATTGGGTGATTGCATGTAAAGAAAGATCTATTGTGTGTGTGGTTGGGGGAGGGGAAGGAGGTATCTATTTCTCGGACTTTTGCTGTAAATAAGAAAAAAGAAAAAAAGAAAACAAAAAGAACCCCGACTCAAACAAACAAGCTATACAAGCACTCACTGAAAGACAGTGCATATTAACTTTATAAATGTTATCTTAATCTATTGCTTACCTTTTGTTTAAAGGGTCTTATTTATTAAAGATGGGTCTTGACCTTGACAGAGTGAATTTATGCAGAAAGTGAAATTTATATCTTTAAGGAGTATTCAGAAGATAAATAGATGTTCATGGTATGAAAAAAAATTAAATTCAATAAATATATTAATATTAATTACAGCCTTTATCAAATATTCTGAGTCCAGCTTACTTTTTGGCCTTTTTTGTTATAGAACAGCATTATTTTTTCCACCAAGAGCATGTAGTTTTCACTGACGGCATTAACAAAAGGCATTATACAAGCATCGGAAAAGCTAAGTGATACTGAAATTACAATCAAATGCATATTCCAGCCATGATGATATGGCTGTTGTAAAGACAATTATAGCCCACTGGAAGAAGCATCTCAAATCCCAGATTATAATGGTTTACTGCAGCACTGCTTAAACCAAGTATGAAAATGTCTCTTTCTATCACCATTTCCTTTGGCAGCAACAGAACTTTGTGTTGTGTATCCCAGCTTTGCTTGCCTCTTTGTGTCATATTTTTCAGTACTGATCAAAGCATTGTTTTAGAGCAAGGGAACTGAGGAACATAAAATCAATCTTAAGTAGATTTTATTGGTAGTAGCTGGCAGTTTGTGATGTATGTCATATTGGGGTAGATTCTTTTTAGGGGGAAGATAAGGGTGAAAGTAGAAAAGAGAGTAAGGTGGCTGTGAAGCATTTCCTTGAGCACACTATTTTGTCTATGTATGAAACTTTAAAATGAAAGATTAACCATTTCTTCTTTTTATTTTTAAATTACAGTTGATGTACATTAAGTTAGCTTCAAATGTACAACCACATGACTACATATAACCATTTTAAAGATACTATTTAATAAAACGGAACTACTTTTAATCCTATTTCTCAGTCTGACCTAATTTTGCTTAATAGTTAAGCGCAGAACACCTCCATTTTCCAATACATTTATTTTACAACAGTTATTATGAGTCTGTCCAAAGGTAGAGCTTCTGCATGTATTTGAGTGCCCTTTCACAAGTGTCCTGAGACAGATGCTTCTCTGTATCTGAATTAACTGCATTAACTATATTAATAACTTTGTTGCAATTATACTGAATCCTCATCTAAAAATAATTATATGTTTGGTCATATGCTTCTTTAACATTTCAAAATATTTGTTTTCAGGGTCTCAGCACTGTAATATTAATATATTTAATACAATTAATGTGTTCTAAGGGACAAGCTAACTCAGTGATAACTGTGTGTATGGAAATCTGGTTTTGAGTGATTACTCTTTTCATCCGTGAATGAGAAAACAGGCAGTAGGCAGAGGTGAATCTAGTCCTTCTATGCGAAATGGAAAATACCATACACTCCTTATAAGGCTAAATGAAGCAGTGATGGCAATGCACTATAATTACAATGTATGAGAATTTGAGACTTTGTACTCTGCTATTTTTAACACTTTTGCTAGCATATGGTAATTCAGGGTCTTCAAACCATAATCTTTCACTGCTAATACCAGTGATAAGAGAGTGTATTCTAAATTTGCCAAAGTCTTGTGACCAAAGCAGCAGTAGGAGGATTCAAAAATGAAAATCTGGCAACTCCAAAATTATCATGACTTCTTACTTAAATCTCAGATTTTTTACTTCTCTTTTTTTTTGTATCCCCCCCTTTTTAGAAGGATTTTTTAAAAAGCCCCACCCCATCTCACACTCTGTATCTTGTCAGTCTCCCTCTTTCTCTGACCTCAAATCCAACCAGCCTCTCTCTCTCTCTCTGACCTCAAATCCAACCAGAACATTTCTCCACTCTGCAGAGAAATTCTCAGGCTCCTGTTGAGACCTGAACCACTGAGGTGCCAAAAATCTCTTGTGCAGCAGAATTGGAGACAAGAAAATTGAAGAATAAGCAGAAAATCCCTAATCTTTGGAGAGTAACAAGAAGCAAGCACTTCCAAACGTTTCAGTTGATTTTTACCTCTTTAAAAAACGGTGGGGTGTTTTTCTGTCTCCTAACAAAATGGAGTAGCTGCAGCTACTGGGAGGCCAGAGAATGATTGTGCAGCTGAGTCCTCCTCCTAACAAATGCCAAGGATTTCCTCCCTCGTGGTTCGCTGCTGCTAAATGAAACAATTATCAACGCTAGAAGGCAGTTTGCTAATCAAGAGGGATAAGACTGCTGTTTCTTTAAAGTGCCAGAACCGAGAAGGGGGAAGAAAGGGTCGTGTGCGGTGTCTTTTTAACCTTGCTGAAGGACGCAGCAGTATTTATTGACGTATGCAAATAACTAAGGGAGGGTGGTGCTTGGGAAAAAACAGGAACCAGAATCAGTTTCTCATTGCAGGGTGAACGCTCTTAGTTCCGGTGAAGGGAAAAGAGACGTGGCGAAATTGCTGTCTTTCTGTCTTATAAGCACATCTCTCACTAATACAGAAAAGGAACCAAGACATCAGAAAGGGTGAAGACGCTCTTACAGTATTTTTAGAGACCTTGCGCGAGCCCTCCCATCCCAGCCCGACCTGTTCTTCTAAATGGGAGATTATGGATTTGCATTGCAATTGGCTAGTAGCGGAGGCACTGGATTTTCGCAAGTAAAACATTCGCCTGCTTCAGCGAGGGGCATTAACGATCACATTGACAATAACGCGTCTCTCTTTTTTCCCGTTTCAGCTGCGCAAACCATGCAGGATGATTTACTGATGGACAAAAGCAAAACCCAGCCCCAGCCCCAGCAGCAGCGGCAGCAGCAGCAGCAGCAGCAGCCCCAGCCCGAGCCCAGCGCAGCCGAAACCCCGTCCACGCCCCTCTCCTCAGAGACCCCCAAGCCGGAGGACAGCAGCGCAGTGCCGGCTCTTAGCCCTGCCGCGGCCCCGCCGGCCCCCAACGGCCCCGACAAGATGCAGATGGAATCGCCGCTCCTGCCGGGCTTGAGTTTCCACCAGCCCCCTCAGCAGCCGCCGCCACCGCAGGATCCCGCGGCGCCGGGTGCGTCGCTGTCGCCGTCCTTCGGTAGCACCTGGTCCACGGGCACCACGAACGCGGTGGAAGACAGCTTCTTCCAGGGGATCACCCCAGTCAACGGGACCATGCTCTTCCAGAACTTCCCGCACCACGTCAACCCAGTCTTCGGAGGCACCTTCTCCCCGCAGATCGGCCTGGCGCAGACCCAGCACCACCAGCAGCCGCCGCCGCCCGCGCCTCAGCCCGCGCAGCCAGCGCAGCCCCAGCAGGCGCAGCCCCCGCAGCAGCGCCGGTCGCCCGCCAGCCCCAGTCAGGCGCCCTATGCTCAGAGGAGCGCCGCCGCGGCTTACGGCCACCAGCCCATCATGACCAGCAAGCCGTCCTCGTCCTCGGCTGCAGCAGCCGCCGCGGCCGCAGCTGCCGCCTCGTCCGCCTCGTCCAGCTGGAGCACGCACCAGAGCGTGAACGCCGCCTGGAGCGCGCCTTCTAACCCCTGGGGTGGCCTGCAGGCGGGCCGGGACCCTCGCCGGGCGGTCGGCGTGGGCGTGGGCGTGGGCGTCGGGGTGCCTTCACCGCTCAACCCCATTTCGCCACTCAAAAAACCCTTCTCCAGCAATGTGATCGCGCCGCCCAAGTTCCCTCGTGCGGCCCCGCTCACCTCCAAGACCTGGATGGAGGATAACGCTTTCCGGACGGATAATGGTAACAATCTGTTGCCATTTCAGGTAATGCTCCAGTGCACCTGCACACGCCTTCCTCCTACTGCTCTTCCTTTGCCCCTTCTTCCCTGCAGTTTAGTGTCCACTGATTACCTCTGCCCCTTCCAAATCCTCCAGTTCCCTGGGGCTATTCCATTCCCTTGCACTGGGGTGGAGGAACACTGTGACTATTCAAAGATGCGTGTTTATACACCCTGACATGATAGAAAAGGGCCTTTTCTTTCTAGTTTATTTTTTTTTCCTTCACCGTGTTTGTGTCTCTTATTTTGACCTTCTTTGACAAGTAAAGCTGCAAGTGTGTGGCAAGGTGCCTGCTTCATCCCAGGATGAGTAGGCGGAGATTCCTGTCGTTTTAAGTAGCTACACATTTCATATTATGCAATTCCCAGCTCAGAGTGCCGGCTGCCGACCACTCCTAAACCACCCTAGTCCTTACTCTTGAGGTTAACAGCCCCTGAGTGGTGCTATTTCAGACAGTTGCATACGCTCAATTAAACTAATGTGAACACATGTATTTATATCTTGCTAAGGTGCTGGCATCTTTAATAACAATCAGCGTATTGCCCCTGCCGGGAAAATTATGAGTGTGAGATTCCGATAACCACCGGAACTCTATCAGGGACAGAGATGGAAGGGTGGAAATTCTAGGGGTAACCCTTCCTATGTTACCTAGAAGGACTTAGAAAAAAATTTTTTTCCAGAAGAAAGAGACAATAGGACGCGACCTTCAGAGCCATATTGCAATGGAGTCTATTTGCTAGCTAGCACTGAAATATTTAAAGCTGCAGTGTCCTTCAGTTGGGTTATTTAAGAAGACAATGCAGATCAATTACACCATTTGAAACTGGGCAAAGTGAAAGTCTTGCAACTTTAATGAAAAATGAGCCTTGTGTCTTGGTGTTAAATGCCAATGAAAAACCCAGGAAGTGCCCCAGACAAAAAGGTTGAATGGAGTGTCCTTATTCTGTTCTTGCTTTCTGATCCAGCCCACAGCCACATCGGTTGGCAGTCCCCTGAACATCTTGAGTTGGAAAGGGGTGGTGAGGGTGAGTGTTCACTGGGAGCTTTTGTTCTCAGGCAAACATTTATCCTTCACTTATAAACTGATTTGGCCATAAGCTTCTAGGCTCAGTTAAAAAAGAAAAGAAGAAAAGAAGGAGAGAGGAGGGCTTTGGATGAGATCCAATTTCTGTGGTCAAGGAAATGAAACAAATCCTTTGAGCATTGCTGAAAAATGGCAGAACCAACATTTGACAGAGGTAGTTTAAAACATCAGGTACAATTGGAACCTTCATTTTATTGCTCTACATTTCAGTAGAGTTGTGATGTTTGGGTGGCTCCCATCCCTGAAGGAGGAAATAAAGTTATTGAGAAGCACATGATTCTCTGGGCTAGAGCAAGGATTTTTAACCTTGATAGTTCAAGGGAGTCCATGAAACCCATAAATTGTATGTGTGAAAGTTTTTAATGAGAAAGGATCTTAACAAGTTTTCATAGACTTCTTCCGGGATGGAAGATTTTAATAGTAAGGTTTATTTTTTGCCATTCTAAAGTTTGCTTATTTAAAAAAAAGAAGAGACACTGCAAGATTACATCAGTTTGGTAGGTAGAGAAAAGGAGGAATCCATTATCTGGAATTTCTCTATTTACTTATTTTTTGGTGGAAAGGAGGCTGCATTTGGTAGGAGAGCTCTCTTTTTCTAAAAGCCATCCACTTTTTCATAGTATTCTTTTTTTAATAGGCCCTCTGTGTTTTTGTTTTTTTTTTATCCTTACCCGAGGACATTTTTCTATTTTTTATTCAGACAGAGCGGGAGGGAGAGAGAGGAAGAGAGAGAGAGAAACATCGACATGAAAGGGACACAACGAGTGGCCAGGGCCGGGAAGTACATGCCCCCAGTGGGAACCAAACCCAGGTCTCTCTGGACCGCAGGCCAGCACTCTAACCACTGAGCCAAACTGGCCAGGGAAGGCCCTCTGTATTTTGCTGCTCCCAACCCAAGACCCGTCTTAGAGGATAACCTCAAATCTGATAGGGAGGTTTGGAGGTTGAGAGCTGACGATATAGACATCAGTTATCTTTTCTAGGAGTTGAATTTGAATACAACTAGCTTTTGATTAATTATCTCCAAAAATGGGTTCTGGGGAGAAATTAAATCCATAAACGTTCCCCCAAACAGATATTGACAAGAAGTGTGTTGTTTCTCAGCAGACCATTTATCAGCGATGCTAATGATAGCCAGACTGGATTGAGTTTGATCTCTTGTCTTTTTATCCCTAATGGTGCTATTGAGTAGGCAAAGATGGCCAAAAGATTTGTAGGTGAAGAGATTTTATTTAAAATTGAGCTTTTTATATTTGACCACAGAAAGAATTACATGGGCTTTATGTCTCACTTTGTTTTCTTAAAAAGGAGCTTCAGGATTTTAAGCAATATTAGAATCAGAGTAGGAGTAACTATGATATATTTTGGCTTGGAATATTATCAGACTTGGTTTGTGTTGATAAGTATATCAAGCATGTTTGAAAAACAAAACACATTGGAGAATTTTACATGTTTGTGCATTTATTTAAATCATTTTTCTACAAAAGGGAGAAAATCTTAAGTAGTCCTAATGATTTTTTTAAAAACTTGCTTATTTTAACAATAGGATTTTTTTTCTTTAAATTGAAGAGTTTATTTCATAGAATGCTAACTTTATTTTTTAAATTTTACAGACTCTTTGAGCTAAAAGAGTCTTTCAACAGTGATCTACTCTAATGTATCTTAATATTTTAAAAAAGTCCATGCCCCTCTCTTTGTCCCTCCCTTCTCCAATGCTGCTTCAGTTTTATTTGCCAAAAACAATAGGTTTGTTTTTTTTTCTGGAGCTTTACTTCTGTAGTTTATATTGTAAAAGCAATAACTATATTCATATGTGGTTTTTCTTTCTTTTTTTTTTATCCTCACCTGAGGACTTTTTTTCCATTTTTTGTTCAGATAGAGTAGGAGGGAGAGGGAGAGGGAGAGAAACATCGACGTGAAAGGGACACATCGAGTGGTTGCCACCTGCATGACCCAACGAGGGCTGGGGACAAACTGCAACCGAGGTACGTGCCCTTAGCGGAACCGAACCCTGGTCTCTCTGGACCACAGCCCGACGCTCTAACCACTGAGCAAAACTGGCCAGGGCCAAATGTGGTTTTTCAAACTACACATGCTTATTTACCCCCCTCTCTCAATTGTAACAAAGTTGATTGATTTCCCTGGATGGGGGTGGCCGCTTCCATCGGGATTATTTGTATCTAAAAGCCACTTCATTTCTATAAATAAGGAAACTGAGGTTCTGAGAAGTAGAGTGACATAACTCGGTTCCTAGAGCTTTGGCTCATTTTGTAATGTATGCTCTTAACTTCCCTGTAGCGATAGTGCTGTCAGGTAGAATTCATTTTAAATCAGGTTCTCTTTTAACTCAATTCAAAGAGACTTAGTTATGGAACTTTCTAGTGAGGTTCCCTACCTGACCAATGCCTCCCACCAGCAGAGCTGAAGAACACTGAGGCACTCCACTGAGGGAATTGTACAATATCTCATTCCATATTTATATAAGACAGAGAAGTCTATGCATGTTAAAAGGACTAGAGCAGAGATGTTTCCTGTATGTAGTGAATTGGGTTAAGTAGCATTTTTGTCCAGAGAGGTTTAGAAGGGGCTTTTGAGAGCACCCATTCCACCAGTTGGTTCATTTTCCAGAAGAGGAATTCAATGTCCCAATATGGGAAATGACTTGCCCAAGTTCAGGTGGGTAGTTGATGTCAGAAGCAGGCTTTGGAGGCACATTGCCTAGGTTGAAATCTCAACTCTCTGCCAGTTACTGGCTTTGTAATCTAGAACAAATTATGTATAATTGTTGACCCTCAATTTTTTTCATCTGTAAAATGGGAATAATAATTCCTTTCTTCATATGCATTCAAATGAGAAACTGTTTTTAAAATGCTTAGTACAGTGCTGCTTGGCTCGTTAAGTACCATATCAGTATTGGGTAATGGTGAGTTGAGGCTCTGCATGATATTATAACGGTATGGATTACCAATTTTCTCATACAGTGCAATCTGAATAACCCCAAACTTCTGTGTAATGTGACTTAGTCCTTTTTCTTTTTTCTGTCTGAAGGTTCCCTCTGGTTACTATAACAATGTGGTAAGCCACCATTTATCTATGTGCCAGGCCTTGTGCTAAGCACTTTACATGTAGTTTTTCATTGGAACTCATTTTGAGGTAGAGGACTGTTATTATCCTCATTATACTGATAATTTGAGTGTTAGTGCATTTATATTATTTGCTCAAGCTCACAGCCAATAACTGGCAGAATTGGGGCTTGAATGTAGGCAATCTGCCTCCAGAACCAGGGGAGGCATGTGATGCCTTGGCTATGATACCTCTTGGACTTCAGTTAACAGTACAGTGTAGAAGCAGGAGACTCAGCTGAATCTGTACTTGATTTTATGATATACCCTGGAAATTGTGTTTTAAAGTATTTTTGTATTTATAGAAATGGCGGGGGGGGGGGGATGGATATAGTACCCATACATATACCACTTCTTTGATTCACAGTAGCCAATATTTTACACCATTTATTTATTTAGTTAATTTATATATTTTTAAATATTGTTTTTTTGGGAAAAGAAATTCAAATTATATTCTACTCTCCATCTGCATCTCTGTCTGTATCTCATCTCCCACCCAAAATTGAAAGTGATTTTATATTTTCTGGCTTAAGTCTAGTTAATATAATTTAGTGTTAATTTTGTTGGTGGGTTATCTGTAACAGAGGTAGAAATTCCTTACATGATGAATTCATGGGATTATAAATTATTTAAAAAATAAATATGCCTATTTATAATAAATTTTGTGGCAACATTAATATTTTTCAACTTGTCCATGTACCTTTTAAAAAATATCTTTTCAGGAAGTAATATAAATTATCTAGCTGATACTTGATTTTGAATAAGGATAGTATAACCTA